AAAAATCTCTCTCACAGCCAAGTGAAAATATAGCGGTTTTATTTGCATGTTTAAAGTTTCCTTTCAGGAAACGAATTGTTGCTTACTTCGGTGATTCTCCGCACTAAAGTGACTCGGATGCTAAAGACGTGTTCTTGTTGAAAAAAAATTCCTGTGTGTTTCGCGAAAGTCATTCGAAAGCATCGCGTAATATTCTGGCCGAGTAACAGCAATAGTCAGTATCAACGGTATCTCGAATGACAGTAAATTCCACGTATCAGATGTCGCGATCGCAATCGAACAGATACGAGAGAGGACGACGCTGTCAGAGGAGTTCGTGGAACAAGAGGTGGACAGGCCAAATGGCCTTCTCAGGGAATTCCTGTACGACATCAACCCGATCGTTGAAGAGGACTGGCGAACGGCGAACCGGCTGATTAAATTCATTTTAATCATACGCTCGCCGGCCATGCTTTTCCTCCAGTTGTTCGTCCCGCTTGTGAACGTGACCGCGGTAAAGAGAGGCTGGTCCAAATTGTTAAATTGCTTCCAGCTGTGCGTGACACCGACCATCGCGTTGTTTCTATTAAACGGTTAGTTGTATTAATTTGTCGCGATTTCTACGGCCACGGCGGCAGGTTACAAACTGCCCCCCGCTAATAAAAGCTGGCCCCCGCGAGATTTTGCGGGAAAAATCCCCCACCCGCGATGAAATATAAGCTTCCGCCTTTTTTTCTTTTTTTGTAACGCGCGCGCCAACTGCCCGCTGTTTGCTCGAAATTAAAGTCAACTGTCACACCGATGTTTGTACACCGATTTCATTTATCCACTTTGTAGCTACTGCGCGTCCGGCGCAAGTAATTTCGCATCGAGTGAATGACGCTGATGGTAATAACAATAATTCCATTAATAACTACTTTCATTCTCCGAGCAAATAGTACATGTTTCGTTCTCTACTGCCATCTGTAGGGCAAGCGTCTATTTAACAAGCCTGAGCACAAGAGAATTGAGCAAGGCAATTTGTTCGAAAATCTATTCCGCCTGTCAGTCGAAACGACGATTAATTACCTTTATTACGGTAATAAAGACTTGTCAAATTCATTCGTTTATTTAGTCCGTGACGGAACGTTTAATGCCAGCAATTCGATACCAAGTAAATAATAATAAACGATAATAACAATACAACTCCGCGAGCACTTTAATTTACAAATAAATTGTACTCGTTCCGCTGGTTGCTCCACGTCTATCAGGCAAGCGTCTGTTTAACAAATCTAATTTGATTCCCCGTTACGAGACAATTTATTCGAGAACCTGTTTGTTCTGCTCGTTTATTACGGAGATCATGTAAAGACTTATCAAATTCATTCATTTATCTAGTTCGTAACGGAACGCCCGGTGCCAATAACTTGGTATATCAAACAAATAGCAATAATAAACCTTTGGTTTGGCCAGCAATTTCAAATGTGTTTGAACAACAACAATAATAATTTCGCGAGTATTTTAAAAAAAATTTACGAACAAATTGATAGATGTATTTCGCTCGCTGTTATACATCTATCAGGCTGTTATACAATTTATTCGAGGACTTGATTCATTTTGCTCTTCGACCTCATTCATTTATCTAGCGCGTAACGAAACGTCTGGTTCTAGAAGTCTGATATCGAGTAACAGTAATAATAATAATAATAATAATAATAATAATAATAATAATAATAATAATTCCGCGAGTATTTTAACACTAAACGTACCGGCATTTTACATACAAGGGGTGAAATGAATTTTTCTCGGTAAAAAGTAAGCTAAGAGGAAAAAACAGAAAACGAGAAATAATCGAATAATCAGATAATATAAGAATTTACAAAAAGTCAGATTAGCGAAAGAAATGTACGATTTTAAAGTAAATTTTGAAAAGGGATCATTTGACCCTGTTTGATACGTTTAGTGTTAAATAATTGAATAAATAGTACACATTTCGCTCGTCGAGTCGAGCAAACGTATATTTAAATTAAATATCGTATTGTAAGTCTATATAGGGATAGTTGATTCCCGTTGGTCGAAACGACGATCACTGCCGCGGCAATTAAAGAGTTCTCGAAAACTTTCGCCCGATTGCTGAAAATATTCGCCGGCAGCCGTCTCATTTCGTGCCGTCGTTTCGCAGTTTGGAGAGCGCATTTTGGCCCGGTCTCGGTGGTGCCGATATTCCTGCTGCTCGGCACCGTAATTGGCGTAATTGTGTTCCTAACGACCGAGGCGGATCGCGTACCGAGGTATCATAACGTGAGTATTCCTTTCGAGTTCTCGTGCTCGCGCGACGCCTGATACGATACCGGCTGGCAAATTATTCGGCAGGTTTTCGCATTTCTCGGATTCTTGGCCGCCATGCTGTCGGTGTATTTGGTTGCCGGCGAGGTGATGGGGGTGCTGCAGTGCGTGGGATACGCTTTCAGTATATCGGACGCGATGCTCGGCATCACGTTCCTCGCGTGGGGGAACAGCATCGGTGGTGAGTGATACTTTATAAATTATAAATGATCCGGAGGAGGGGAGGGGAGGGGAGGGGAGGGGTACTGTAAAAGAAAAACGAATTCGAACCTGCCACCGACAGATCTGATATCAAACGTCACGATCGCCAAACGAGGATTCCCACGGATGGGATACGCAGCTTGCTTCGGCGGGCCGATGTTCAATACGCTGTTGGGATTGGGGCTGACTTACGGAATGGCGGCCGGCACACACCCAGCCCAGCACATAAGCATGAGAATGAGCGACATGGCACCTGGCTGTTTGGCCTTCCTCCTCTGCTCGTTGATATCCACTATTATCTACTTGAACATCACCGGCTCCATCGCTCGCAGATCGTACGGCTACCTTCTCTACTCTATATATTTCACGTTCATCCTCATTCAGTTCCTCAGCGAATTCAGAGTGATTCACCCGCTGGGTACCGATCATCGACCTTAACACGTTCCATGCCATGTGCACGTTCCGTGCCATGTGTACCACCGGTAGTACACGTTAAACTTGATCTTCAGGTGCCACCATATTTTCTAATAATATTACCACAAGTGGTAGACGATGTGATAGCTACTCTAAACAGTAATGAAAGATTGTGTGATAATATATCAACCTAGTTTAGTCAAAATATCAA